TTCCTCCCCTCCCTCCGCTCCCCTCTCCCTTTCTCCTTCTCTCTCGCTCTTAATTTTTTTTAATGCAATTTCTCCAACTCCACCTTTGTTGTGCTGGGCGTCATTCCCCGCAGCCAATCCCGGCCGGGCAGCTGCCTGCAAATTACCGGCCATCCCGAGCTGCCTGCAAATTCCGGGCCATCCCAGGCTGCCTCCTTGCTCCCGGCCACCCCGGCTCCGCCACGGCCTTCCCAGCTATCCTGGGCCTTCTGCTGCCCTGCCCCGGCCACCCTGGGCCCCCTCTTGCTCCATCCAGCCCGGCGCTCCGGCAGCTCCCACCGGCACCTGCCCAAATACTCGGACAGGGGGGGCTGCTGGGGACCCCCATACTCCGTGCAATGGGGAGCGGCGAGTCTCGCTCTGCCAACACGGCCGAAATGCCGGCAGGCGCCTCTGTGGGAAAGGCAGCCAAAAAATCCGGGGGATTTTCAGCACTGTTTACGGACAGAGCGGCCCCGGGTGCAGGTGCCAGCGGCGCCGCGTCTGACGCAAGCCGCTCTCGGGCCTCGGCCGCCAGCGAAAGTCGGCAGCGAAGGAGCTGCCGGCGGGAGCCCGGCCTGCTCTGCAGCCGCCACCGCGTGCCAGGCGCCGCCGGAGCTAATCCCTCTGGCCGCAGATTAAAAAATATATGTATATATTTATCCTGCCCGGAAAGGGCCGCTTTGCTGAGCTGGTTTTCGTGTTCTAAATTAGGTGAAATGTTGCTGTTTTGCAAGAGGGAAAAAAAATGAAAATAAAAATAGGTAGGCACAATCAAGCCAAACATTTGAATGTGGATGTTTTTATTTTTATTTTTTCCAGGACCTGTTTGAGTGGAAAGCAGTTCCTAGCAGGTGCCTCCCCTCAATCATATCCATATTTTCCACTTTCATTTTATTTCCAAGGTGCTCTCCCACCACAGGCCGGTGGTGCCACCCAGTCAAAAAGTCATTTAGGATTAGGGCCCTGACCACGCAGCCCTGGTCACCACACTGCTGGAAGGCCTGAAATGTAAATATTTCCTTTTTTTTTTTTTTTTTTTTTTCTCTTGCACAAAAGCAAATCTGCAGCATGAAAACAGCCCCTAAAAACAGAGGCTTGCCAGAAATGAAGAGGCCTCCCCAAAATGCCCCAAAACGTTCTCCAGTGCAGTCCTCCGCTCCAGAAATCTTCCCGCGTGCAACAGGATTATTTTTTAATTGCTGTTATTTGTACCCAGGGGGATTTTTGCAAATAAAAGTGCAAGGATTGCGTGCTGGCCGAGGCGGTGCTGGAGCAGCTCTGTGACAGCTGGGGGGCTGCAGGGGGACCCCATGGGTGCTCTGGGGAGAGCCCCAGGACAGCCACCCCCCACCACCACCTCCACCTATTTATAGGGCCAGGCGGGTGGCTGGCGCAGCCCGATTGCTGTCGCTAACGAGATTACGACTAATCAGGGTTAATTTGGGGCCGGAAGGGTCTCCGGTAGGGCCTGGCTGCCGCTTTGCAGCTTGTGTTGGCCTTGCTGTCACTTCGGGCTGCAGCGGGGCCTGCCGTGCTGCATCAGCCCCCCCCCCAAAGCCACCACGTCCCCGTCGCAGACTCGGCCCCCCCAGGGGCCCCGCGTGGCCGTGCCACCCCCCCGCGTGGCCCCGGGCTCTGCACATGCGCCCGGGCGGCGGAGGAG